GTTCTATTGGTTGCTTACTTTGCATTGTTGGAATTCAGAAAATGAAACTTTTTGATTTTTATGATTGAAGAGTGAGCGGGAGACAGATGATGAGAGAGAGAGCGGGAGAGTAAAACACTAAATTTTGACGATCCAATTATTGTATTGCCAATGACTCTTTTGATTGTTTGCCATTGATGTTTGCCTTAAATGTCAATTCGCGGCTCATATTGAGATTACTGAGTTTACAGTCGAAGATTCAATTTTAATTTATGAGGTGATTAAGAATTGGAATGTGCTCTTTTGACCTTTTTGCGTACGAGACTCGAAAATATTGAGTGCTCATTATGACGTTTGAGTTGATGAAGGTAAATATTAGGTTAGGCCAAAACTAGTGAGTCCAGACAGCTTGGTCGATTATGGTACTTCGAAGAGGCTTTTGTTTTAATCACAGTCCATGAGCAATACTTTGATTATCCTTGCCTTTCTAACTACGTTTTGTATTCCTCTTACTGGTAATTATCAAGCAACGATTTTCTCCGGTAAAAGACGAAGATCCATTCTAAATTAATTCGAATTAGAAGTCGTAACCTCTATTTTGGTGTACTTGACTGATACCGTTTTCAAGGTGTTCTTGTGTCTTTCTCGTAAAGCTGCAGACCACAGATTCTTCCCGGTTTACTGAGAACCCTGGTCTTTAAGCTCGATCAACTCCGATTTAAAGTGGAATGTGTGAGAGGATAGATTGCTCAATTTATACCTAAACTGTTAAAGTAAGCTTCGAAAGCTGTTTGCATTTTTAAAAGCGCACTCAACGGCAATATTTGCCTCAAGTTCATATTATCGCTTACACGTAGTCTTTTCAATTGTCCACGAGCTCCTGGTCACCATACATAGATACTGCGCTTGTCCATCGAGTTCCTCTGCAGCTCCGATCAACTTACACTGTCATAGTTGGTATTTTTACATAGCTTAAAGGTCCTTTTTCTTCTAACAAATGGTCCTCTATTCTATTAATCAAAGATTTCGCTTATATTGAGGTTAAAATTGATTGAAGTTCATACCGATCCCATTGTTTCCAATACATGGAAAAGTAAAGGTAAAAAATTGCAGCTTATTTTCAGTTCAAGAAAAAAATTCTTTCGGACTTCCTTTGGTCAGAGTCTGAACCTAATTTGAGCAGCGTTACTCAAGCCCATTATAGATACGGGTATCTAGATATATTTTTATGCAATCGTCCCAAACTAATGTTGGTCTTGAAACCTCAATAATACCCCGTACCATTACCTTCGGCGGTCAACTTCTCTAGCTCCTTATATTCATTTCGATCTTTCTCGCTTTAATGCGTATTGCTTTCATTTTCAGCTCTCGGTAGCTATCGTTCGCCGTACGTGCAATGATCGATCGCAACGTTACGGGGTAGGCAGCTTGTTTTCCTCTTCGTACCAGATGTTCTTCTGGATACTGTCTAAAACCAATAGTGTCGTTTTCCAGCTATACTTAAGGAATTTGAAATATTGACTTGCTGATGAGTGTTCTCAGAGAGCAGGAGTGCAAGTCGAGGAGAAAACCACTCTGCAGTCTGTTCTGATTGCAGCTTTTCGACGTCAAACTTTCCTTGTTTTTGCTACAGGCGTTTTTGCTGCACAGAAGCGCTTGCATTTCTTCGTTGCAACAACATAGTGGGCCGAGTGGATATTGGGTCCTCGTAGTTTACGCATGTCACGAAAAGTGGATACATGTCGTCTACCTATTACAACATGATCGATCAGATTTTGAGCTTTTTAATCAGAGACAGCCAAGTAGTTTGATGAATTTTCTTGCGCTGGAATCTAGTACTACAGACAGTATACACCGTACCTCGGCGAGGACAATCAGCCTCATCCCATTTGGGCATGTTTCGTTGTGAAGGTTTGAACGTGCCGAAGATATCTTGTTTTCCATACTGACGTTAAGATCGCTAAACACGACATTCACATCGTGGCGAGGTCAGCTCTCAGAAGATCATACGCTCCAGACGCTCATTAAAGGCATTCATGGTCACGTCGTCCTTATTTTTCAGCGGGACGTGGGCTTAAATCAGCGGTATACTAAAATATTTCACCTTGATTCTGACGATAAATAAAGTTATCGTCTTTACCATAATCTTCAATTTAAGTACCAAAATACACTTGATAGTCCAAAAACTATTAACAATCAAATTTAATAAAATCACACAACAAACTAAAAAGCAAAAAGCTCTAAAAGGCAAAACTCATAATAATTTTACATGCCATTTGGCTAAGTGTTTATAATGTTTGTTATTTTTTTTTTGTTTTTTTTTTTTGAGTGAATAAGCGCCTTTCAAGCCTATACTGATGTACCAGCGCCCCTCTTTTTGAAGTGGAAAAAGCCATTCTATCTAGTGAGATATATTATATATAAAAAAAAAATAGTAAAAAAAATATAAATAAATATTTGAAGGGTAGTTCTATGCGACTCGGCGTCTATTTTTGCCATTTTTTCAGTGAAAGACTTTAATAAATATTTTATATGCCCATTGTGTATGTAAATATGCAAATAAAAATGCAAACAATACAAATAACAGTGTAATATAAGCAACCCTTTTCATTTTTTCATTCCAATAAATTACACACGTAACTTGTGATTTCAAGCTTTCAGCTCTTCAACTATTGCTGACTAACGGTTGAAGTTTGCCCTTTAAGCCATTTACTGTGTTATAGGCATAGTTTTATTTATATTATATTATATTTAGGCTGTTATTTCTTTTGAAGAACATTTATGGGTTATTTTTTGAAGTGCTCAGAGTCTGCTCACATTTATTTATATTTATTCAAACAAATTTATATTTTTATATCACATATATGTATATACGAGTATAGTAATATTGAGTAAAATGTGAATTGTTCTCATTCCATTCAGGTTGCTGATGTCTTTGATACTCTAGAGTGCTTCATGGATATGAGAAATTTGAATTGCACACCGAGAAGTGCTCCGAAAACGAAATTCCGAAATTCCACTCTTTCGTAAACTAAGACTCTTAGACTGGCAATATGCTGAAATATAAATTTCAAAACTGCACTTTTGTTTTTGAGAGGACCGAAACTATATTTCACAATCCTTTAAGCTTCCAAAATAGTGCATTATCTTCCAGGCGGAAGCCTTTTGCAGTTATAAAAGCAGCTGAAGTAGCTAACAGCGCAAGAAACCATTTACAAAATATCAATATATAAATCGATAGCCAAGCGGGAATTAAGGCAACCATCGGGCAAAACACATAGCCTTGCGTCAGTAAATATCCTTGGAAGCAATGAGACAGTAGATGTAGCAGCTGCAGAAAAACGATAGCATATATACAGGGTTCCAGGCCACAATGGCATTCCGGTACAATACGACGTGCGAAAATGAAATAATGTGACTTGTTCCACAGAACCATATATTTTAAAATTATTCTAAAACTCTGTCATCCCCTTCAAAGTAGTTCCCTTGGGCAGCTATACAACTATTCCAGCGCATTCGCCATGCTTCGTAACATTTCTGGAACTATTCAACTAGTATGTCTGCGAGTACCCTCATCATGGCCGCCTAGAGGTCCTCAATCGACTCAAAATTGGTTCCTTTGACCACCGATTTTGTTCAAGAGAACAAAAAAATTCACAGGAGGACATATCGGGCGAATAAGGCGGTTGTTGCAACACGGCGATCCCTTTAGAGGCCAAATACTGGGATACGCTGAGTGCTGTGTGGCACAGCGCGTTGTCGTGATGAATGATCCAGTTACGAGCGTTGTCTGGGCGCACCCTGTTGACTCGTATTCGCAATGTTTCGGGTACTTGGCGATAGTAGACTTAATTTACGGTTTGCCTGGGGGAAGAAATTCTTTGTGGAAGATTCCACGGATATCAAAAAAGGCAATACTCATGGACTTGCTCATGCCCCTCCTTAAACTTTTGATGTCATCAAAACACCTGGGCATGACTAAGAGCACTATCACCAAGAACTTTTACAATTTTAGCGTACTTTTCCGAAGCTGTTTCGTCCAGTTTGGCACAAAATTTTATCGCGACGCATTGCTCTTGATTTCGCTTTTCCATTTTCGTGACGAGCATCACGAACACACGTTTACTCAACACGACGCAGCAGGCGAGCTAAACAATCTAAAGCGTTGGCAAATAGATCAGTGGAGAGGAGAAGGATGCCGGTAGAAGAGCAAGAAAATTTTAAGGTCTCGACAATATAATCAGTTTCATTACTTTATTGTCATACCTCGTGAATGCGGAAGTTGCTTAAAGTAAAGCACAGTGATATTTTCGGGGGCTGACAGACGGTTTGGGGTAAGATAGAAAGTCTTAACGACAAGCTGGGTCGCAAATATCATGTAAATGAGTACCTAAGGAAAATATGGATATTTTTTGATAACGCGATCTCATAAGGATTTCTTAGCCTTCTGGGATCACAAACCAGCCGAGTGGGCATCGATGACACATACAGGATTTGCTGCGAAGAAGAGATAAGTGAAAAGCTGAAACACCTCCGCTACTTCTGTTCGGCCTTATCCAGTTCTCATCGATAGATAACTAAAAGCCTCGCATTTTAATTGACTAGATGAAGTATCAAAATAGGGATGTAAAGGCTCGTTTAAGCTTTCAAAAATCGTTCACGTCCTTTATGACTACCTCAGCACGTAGTAAAGAGAATCTCTTTCTGGCAATTTTTTAAAATATCATGAAACACTTTCATCTTATCTGCTGCCTACATCATACGAAGAACACACCCACCAAGTTTCTGACCATCACCATTAGTGGTTTACGCTGCGCATTACTAAATACCGACTCTTAACCCACTTCAGGTCACAGCATCTTACACCCAAATAAGTGAATGAGAATTTCCATGCTAAAATTTGGCGTCCATACAATGAAATTTCGGACCTCTTCGAGGACTTGAAAATTGTACTAACAATTATTTGTATATCTTTATTATCATTTAATTTTTTTTTTTATAAAAGATCAATTTTTCTTAAGAATAAAACAAATATTAAAAGTCGGCTGTTCTCTGTACATACATAGTTTGTGCGAAATTCGGTGGCTTTGAGATATTTTTGAATAATTTAAGCTTTGCTAACGGTCATACATCTGCTCTTAACGCTCTGTCCTGCCTACAAAATCTCGTTTATAAAGAATTATTGTAGCATTGGAGGCATTGGTGGCATGGGCGGCATTGGCGGCATTGGCATGCCATCTGGAGGTGCTGGCATTTGTGGAGAGCGGCGGCGCTGTATGAAAGACGAACAATTGAAGCATAAATAAAAAATAAATAATATCGCACAACTGATATATGCTTGGTGTGAAACTTAAGTGTATTTGAAAAAATTATTGATAATTTTTTGTTTTTAAATCCTTCACACACTTTGCCGAACTCACCCTGACTCCATACAGTTCCTGGGGTACTTGCTCTGGCACCTCATCAGCTGCCTGAGTTGGTGAGCGGCGGAACTTTGAATAGAAGGTTAATGGTTTTCATTTTTATTTATAATTTGAATTTAATTATTTTTTAAATTACCCTTTCGCGGTGCTCTAGCTCCTGTGGCACTTGCTCTGGTATGTCATCTAGAGACTTTTGCACCGCGCGACGGAACTGTGGGAAAAAATATTTTGAATTATAATCATGTTAAATAATTGTGTGGAATATATGTATATATATATATATATATATATATTATACAAAAAAAAATATATTTTTCGCGCTCTTCATTTTCTTAATTGAAACACCAAACTCACTCGCTCGCGAAGTCCTTCCGGCACTTCTTCGGGTACTTCGTCATCTGCAGCACGTCGGGCCTAGAAAAAAACAATTATTTTTTTGAGATACTATAACTTTGTCTAATAAAATACAGATCGCTCCATCAACTTCGTTATGAACTTTTTACACTTACCCGCGCTCGCTGTCCCTCCGGCACTTCTTCGGGTACTTCGTCATCTGCAGCACGGCGCACCTTGATGAAAAAAAACATATATATATTATAATATTTTACACTAACAAAACAGTGCTAAATGAAAATTTTATGCTTACACATACCCTCGCATTAAACTCCTGCGGCACCTCCTCTGGCACTTCGTCCGGCCGGAAACCGCGTGCACCGCCACGCATGGCATATCCTTCGGCACCAATAAGGCAGGCAATAATCACAATCAGTGCAAAGCCAATGCACAAATTTCCAAATGCTTTCATTTCGGTGGCGGCGGCGATAAAAAAATTTACGGTATTACTACACAGAGATAGAAAGAGAGAGAGAGAGAGTGGGAGAGGAATGCATAAAAATTTTATTTGGCAACTAAGCAGTCAACGGAAACAAAATCTGTAATATTAAAAACTCATGCGTATCCTTGCAACTTACATGCAGTAAAGTTTGCGGCGTCAAAAGTTTTTGATTTTTCTATTTCAGCGTTGCTACTGCTGCTGCTGCTGCTGCTGCTGCGTCTGCGTTTTGTTGCGCTAACAATGTTTTTTTGTTGAATGCAATCATTGAAGCGATTTGCGCACAATTTATAGTAAATCCCAAACCCAGTCCCTTTCTCTGGCAGTTGCATGCACATTTTACACTTATCGACGAATTTACATCTCAGCAGATAAAGAAGTGACATGGAAAACGCATGCAATAAATTAAATATTATTACAAAATTGTTTATGAATTTGATGGAACAATTTCATTGTTATGGAAGAATCATTGGATAAGCGTAAATCTATTTATTTTTGCTTATATGATATTTGGTTGAGTTCTTCTTCTTTATCTTTATTGGTGAATTAACAATGGCGCGCTTTTAGTTTCTTCTCTTCGCTGCTAGGGGTCCACCTGATCCTCATCGAAAACTTTCATAGCTGAAATATCCTTATTCATCTGGATCGAATGACCTTACAAGAGCAGCTGTTGACTCTTGATTTGTTGTATATTCGTATATCTCGTACAGCTCATCGTTCCATCGACTGCGGTATTCGCTCATAACAACTCGTAGAGGACCATATATCTTATGCAAAACCTTCCCACGAGAAATCCCAAAGCGTGACTGCCAACAGTATCGCGGGAGTCTTAATGCCAAAGCAATAACTTCTTCTTTGATATCAGAATATATTTCAGGTTGTGCTCGTTCTCTAACACACCCTAACGCTTCTCTTCTTTATCACGGCGCGGTTATTGAGGCCAACAATGTCAATATCTTAGGTGTACGCCAGCAGCTGTGCACTCTTATAGAAGATTCTCTATTCAGCTTAGCAGTTCGTATTACTTTCGGTAGCAATAAATTAAAAAAAGACACGAAAGAAGGCCCATGAGAGGTCCATTCCGTTTCTGACAGAGCTTTTGGTGTTTGTTTCATGTAAGAATTCAGTTCAAATTCAATTCTTTATCGCATTGTTGTTTTCAAGCAGGCGTTTGCAATTCGAAGTTTCTTATCGTCGGGGTGTTCCATTTTCACTATTAATCAGCAGGCTGGAGAAGTGTTCAGTAAACGCTGGGCAACAGTCGCTAGATTTCCACTTTGTGTCCTACGAAGTTTTCTTCCGTCTTGACAACAACAAAGTTTGTTCAGATTGCTTCTTTTTATAGTCACTTTTGATGAGATACTGTTAACCTGTAGAGATCTGACGGCTATTTAACTATCGAATGATAGTCCTGCTACCGTATATTTGAACAGCCATTTGGCGACTTCCATGATTGCAAACAGTTCTGCTTGGAAGACATTGCAGTGGACTGGAAATTTCATGCTCATATTCATTGAGATACCGCTTTTTCAAGGAGCTTTGAGCCGTCTGTAAAAATGGGCTTGACTCCTGTTTAGGAATCTAGTTTGAAGAGATTGTCTAGGCAAACCATTGTGTTTTGTGTGTATATATCTAGAACGGTGAGATCTATAATTTTTCCAAGCTCCACGAGTTAAAGGATCTATGTATTGTATATCTTTCTGGATTTGTATTTGCCAAAGAATTTTAAAAAAAGGGGCTCAGTATGCAATATTATAGTTAAATATAGATATATATAATATATTTTTCCAATACTAACTAAAAATAATAATTTTATAATCAATTACCAACACAGCGTCAGTTACAAAAACTGTAGAAGTACGGTAATTCTAGTAATCTCTTAAAATCGGCCAATGAATTAGTCTAAAGGTCATTGCTTAAAAATACTCCCTTCCAAAGAAGGATCTAGTAAAAAAACTACTCTACTTTTAATACCATTTAAATTAGCAATCTTTAAAGCTAACGATATCAATTTTGCATTTTGTTTTTTTATTTTTCTGATTTTTATTTTGAATTATTGATGCGAACTTGATTTTGACAATTGTTACACTGAAAACAAAATAAAAAATATACAATAATTGTGGTTTTTGTTCTCCTGCTCTCGCCTTTATGAATTCGCCTTGCCTCAATAGCTAAGTGGTTTTAATTTGTGAGCGTTCACTGTAAATTATTTAATTTTTTTTCTTAACCAATCGAATATAAAATCTTAAAAAAAGGTTATCACAATTTAACGGTTTACTGACTAATAATTATATCTGCCCACGTATTTATGATGAATTTTATTTAAATAAAGAAAATTGCTCAAATTGAATTGTGTCTGAATTGACATTTATATGTATGTACGAGTATATAAGTAGTACATGTGTAAAATATTTGTGATCAGGAAAGTGACATGCGACAATTATTGACAACTTTATACTAGAATAAAACAATGTAATTTTTTATATACACTTCAAAATGCATTTAAATGCCAATCAGATAATTATGCAAGTATGTATGTATGTAAAAATGAATCATATACAGTGTTGGGCTTAAGAATTGGAGCACTCAAATTTGAGCTTAAGAAAATTAATATTGTATTGTCTTGTTGAGGAAAAATTTAGTCAAAGAATTATCAAATAATTTCATTTTATTAAATAATTTTTTTTATTAGGTTTTCTAACGAAAGAACATAATTAGTATTTATTAAATATATTAAATGATATTTTATGGTGCTATTATTTTCTTCATGACTGCTACGTTGCTTTGTTTTAATTCGTGTTCGTAAGCATTAGTGCACAACTATTTATATTTAATATGTATGTACATACATACGATTGTTTGTTTTTGTGAAAACTTTCATTGGCATTCATTACAAAACTACTGAAAATTAGCACGTAATTAATAATGACAATTAAATCGTATATAATTAACTGTTTGAATTTTTGTTTTTTATTTTGTTGGTATTTTTTTTTTTGGTTTTGTTATTGGTTATAATTATTGTTATTGTTGCTGTTGTTGCATTGACACAATGCATATTTTCATTGACAATTTAGTGGTTATCTAATTGAATTTGTGTGAAAATCAAAAAAGATTGCCCTCATATATATACACAATTGTATGTATTACATGTAGATATACATATTTATGCCATACATGCGAATAAACCACACATAGTAAGCACAGTACAACAGTAGAGTTCCGTATCAAAGTTTATAAATAAGAATTTTAGTAAAAATTAAGATATTTTCAAATAAAATTTGTTACACATTTTTTTAATTTTAATTTGTTAGTAAACATGTAATGTATGAAAAGAAAAACAAAATAATACAAAACAATGATTTTAACTTTAACCATCTTAATAGTAAAATTAAATAAAATAATAGTGAAATTAATTTAAAAAAATAATAATTTAAAAAAAAAAAATTAACTAAACAACAACAAAATTAAAGATTTGCAGTAGAGCTCGAAAGTAAAATACAAAAAAAAAAAGAAATAATAAAAATTACAATTAAATAAAAGAGTACCGCAATAAAATCTGAAATTGGGTCCCAAATTACCAGTTTACAACTAATCCAATACCAAGCTACAACGATTCCCACCAATGCCTAAATTTGATATGAATAATTTTTAATAAAGATCGATATGATTTATGGAGTATTTATTAGTATTATAATACTAGCGAACTCGGCCAAACCTTGCTGTGGCTTTCTGAAGTTCTGATTACTTTATATAGGTTGTCAAATATCTTCCTTCCGCTTTTTTGCTCTTCATTCAATGCTTTATAAAAAGTGTTACAGTGATCGGATTTAGTTAAAATATGCGCCGTTTTGTTCGATGATCTGTTTCCATCTAGACGGCAACTTCATAATACCTTCCTCGTAGAAGCCCCCTTCCTTATTTGCGAAGAATTCGGACAGCCACTTTTCACAAGCCTCTTTTGAGTTCAACTTCACACCACCAAGGGCATTCGCCATGGACAGGAACAGACGGTAATCACTTGGCGCTACGTCCGGGCTATATGGTGGATGTGATAAAACTTCCTATCCGGGCTCCCGTAGTTTCTGACGAGTCATTAACGAAGTGTGTGGTCTGGCGTTGTCCTGGTGGAACACTACACCCTTCCTGTTGGCCAATTCTGGACGCTTCTGGTCGATCGCCTGTTTCAAGTCGTCCAGTTGTTCGCAGTAGATGGTGGAATTAAGCGTCTGGCCATATGGGAGCAGCTCATAGTGGATGATTCCCTTCCAATCCCACCAAACACACAGCAAAACCTTCCTGGCCGCCAATCCCGGCTTGGCCACTGTTTGGGACGATTCACCGGCCGTCGACCACTACCGTTTTCGCTTGATATTGTCGTATGTGATCCAGTTTTCGTCGCCAGTCACCATCCGCTTCAAGAATGGGTCGAATTCGTTCCGTTTCAGCAGCATATCGCAGGCGTTGATTCGGTATAGAAGGTTTTTTTGCGTCAAATTATGCGGCACCCACACATCAAACTCTTTTTTTCTGCAGATGGTTCAAAATGGTTTGGTGACTAACTCCCATCTCCTGGGCGATGTACGAGATACCATATGCCGGTCTAACTCGATGTATTCCATGATTTGATCGGTATTTGTCGTCACAGGTCTTCCGCCGGCTGGCTAAGCCATGGTGTCGTTTTCACCGGCTCTGAATAGTCGAAACCATTCCTCCGCGGTTCGAAGTGATAGAGTACCATCCCCCAAAACACCATTAATTTCACGAAACGTTTCTCTAGCGGATTTGCCTTTAACGAAGGAAAACTTTATATATGTCTATAACTGTTGAACGCAATATCCGAACTAATCATGCATAGCGTTGTTCTGTAGGTTATGTCAAGACCTTTCAAATTAAGTATAGTGTTGCCAGATACGAGCTCTGTAGCGCTTTGTACATAGCCGCGAAATTCAAAAGACATAAAAGCAGAAAGCAGATATTTGACAACCTAATATTTGTAGCAAACTTCTTTGCTGCTCAACGTTTTTACCGAAAATGTCAATATGAATGTCTCGAAATTAGACAAATGCACCACTCAGGTCCATGCTTATTCGCACTTAAGATGAAAGCCTAGGAAAGGCTTGTAACCTGCAGCCGTTGAATAAGTAAATCGTCCCTGGTCCATTTCCAGTAAACAAATGTATTCTCTTTTAGAACATGATCATATTATTTAACTGCAACAACTATATATTATATATATATACGAGTTCTACTTC